CGGGGACCAGCAGCCCCCGTGGGCTCCCAGCGCAGCGGGAAGCTGGGCTGAGATGGGTCCGGAGGGGTTCTGGGACCCTGCGGGTCCTCAGCGAGTTGGACTGTGCTAAGTCACAGCGGCAAAGCGCAGGATCCAGACCTCAGCAACTCACAATCATGGAATGGTTGGATTTGGAAGGGTTTTTGTCCATGGTCACCTTTTGCAGAGGTGCCAGCCCGGTCCCACCAGGCAGCTGCTGAGACAGAACCCCAGACTGGTTTGGGTTGGAAGGAACCTTAAATCTCATCCAGCCCCAACCCCTGCCAGGGGCAGGGACACCTTCCACTGGAGCAGGTTGCTCCAAGCCCCTGTGTCCAACCTGGCCTCGAACACTGCCAGGGATGGGGCATTAACCACTTCTTTGGGCAAACCTGTTTTGCTCCCTGATGGTTTCTCTTTTAACAAGTTCAGTAGAACCTGAAGACCAGACACGTGCTCCATGTCCCCAGACAGTGACACCTCAGGGAACTTTCAAAGCTGAAAAACACAGCACTAAAAAGGAAAAGGCAAAACCAAACCAACACAACAGAGACACCACCACAAGGCTGCAACTCCAACACAAACCACACACCGCAACACCAGGAGAGGGGAACAGCTAGTCCTGGGATCACAATCGCTTCTTGCATGACCAGGAGGCACACAGGCCGGCTCCCGAGGGATGGAGCCTCACCACGGGCAGGCAGGCCCCTGTTTATCACTACAAGGCTGAGGACATCACCCTTGCAGTGATGGTATGGACCAAATGTGGAACTTCTTCGCTTTCCAGAGAGAAGGGCTTTGGGCCAAGCACTTTTACAATGACTTGGCTGCTTTACAAACAAATTTCCCCTGGTAATCAGAAATGATGTACGGCCCCATTCGTCAGTCATTGAATGGATTTATCAAGGAGAAAACCTCCCCCAGCCTCATTCCTACATGAACTAGAGGGAGAAAACTGCTTCTCCAACTGGGACCACCTTGTCCCACCTTTGGCGAAGGCAAGGACCACACCAGAGCCGTGCAATCCCCCATTTCCTAGCTGATTTTGACCAAGTGTGCTGGCAGCCTTCACCACATCGAGTCACCAGGGGATTAACTCGGCCACGAGGCATTAGGGAGCAGATCTGCAGGACCCCAACTCCAAAGCCGTGAGACCCCAGAGCTCCAAGTGCTCTCGGAATCGAGGCACTGCACTAAGCAGTAGCCTCAGGAAGGCTGACACAGACTGGAACCAACCCACTGTGTCCATCCTGCTTCCCAGCAGGGGCCCGTCCTCCCCCACTTCTGGTGATGCAAGAGAGAAAAAGCTTCCCTGAGGCTGAGTAACCTCTTTAACATGAGCACAGGCACACACAGATGATCTGAGCCTCTCGGCGGGTTCTAGCCATACCTTCCCGTGCCTCTACCGCTTCTACTGTGGCTGCAAGACAGAAGAACAGTGGCATGCAAAAATGAAGACAGAAAAAACAAGTGAGAGTGAGTGATCTCCATCGTCACGCAGAGCCCACAGCCCCCCAGCCCCAGGGGACACGACCACAATCAGAACCAACTGGCAAGAGGGGGGCAGAAAGGTGACAGGAGCTGGAGAGGAAGGGGGAAAGGGGACTCCCTCGGGTGAGCAGTGGCACAGGGGAGTCTCCTTCCCTCGCTGCGCTTGTCACACAGAGAAATCAATGGAGAGGAACAGAGAAGCAGAGATGGATTCTGGCTGCATGCACTGGAGGGCTCAGGGGAGCAGGTATCCCATGGGAAGGACGGTGGGTCTCCATTTGCATTTCCAACCCCCCTGCTCCCACTCTGGTGGCTTCAGGGTGCCCTGACCGCCTTCAGAAGGTAAATTAGAACCACCTCCTGCGGGGAGGGCAGGGAGCAGCACATCTCTGCTCCCGGTGCCTGGGGTTGGAAGAGAAAAAGAGATGGGCTGAGGCTTCAAATCCAGCCTGGCTTCAGCTCCACCTCCTACAAGTGTTACCAAGCAACAAGGCACATAAAGCTGAGCAACATCCCCCTTCCTAAGCCCCACTCACCAAGTGCTGGTAGTCCCTGCCCCAACATCTGGGAGGGGAGGAGGCCCTTCCTGAGAGCAGATCCCCCACTTGCAGCCTCCGAACGCCACAGAGCTTTACTCTGGACACAATACAGAGAGCACACTGTCCTCGAGAGGCGGTGGAGGAAGAATGGAGCTCTGCTGAACATCTTTGCTCCAGATTTGGCGGCTCTGCTCAGCCACTTCTGCTGTGAAAGGCTGGCGGGAGGCCCAGGGGGGGGGCCGCGGGGAGCGACGCCCCCCTGCCTCTGCCTCCTGCAGCCCTGGCTCTCCTCTCGCGGGGCACAGAGGGGCCCTAGGAGTGGGGCAGCCCCCTTCTCCTCCCCACCACCAGACAGGCTCCCAGCACAGCTGCTGCTGGAGCACCCATGCGTGTGCTGGGAGCAGAAGGGGATGCAGGAAGGAGGCACGACGGGGGCAGAAGGTGGGCAGAAGTGTGAGAAGGGAGGGCAGAAGCAGCGGGGTGCTGCCAAGGGGAGCAGCCACGGCAAGGGGGGAAGGCAGCAGCAGAACTCAGCTTCTCTGTCCTGCCCCGGGGACATGCACAGGGGGGAAAACGCATAAATCTGCTTCTTTACTGCGGGGACCCCTCAGAGGAACCCCCCAAAGGGGCAGGGGAGCACCCCGGCACGACCTGCTCCCTGTGCAGCACTGCGAGTGAGCTGCAGCGCTCGGGCTCTGTTCCCACCCCTGCAGCACAACTGGGGCGCCACAAACCGTTGTGGTGGCCAGAGAAAAGCAGGAACCCCCCATAATTCCTCCTGCTCCGCGGGCAGAGCAAGGCGGGAGCCTGGGAGCGATGCAGCCCCCTCCCCAGCCCAGGAGGGCTGCCACGCTTCTCACTGTGAACGATTTACTCCAGGCAAAGGCAACCCCAGAACAAGCCCTCTCCTGAGCCTGCAGGAATCACCCGGTGCTGACAGAGGGGCAGCAGGCTGCTGAGGTGCCAGCATTCAAAGGCTGGCGGCGGGAAAGGATTAAAACACTCGATTCCAGGATTCCCTCTAGGGACACGTGTTGGGATAACTCATTCCCTGACCAGCAGCCAACCTCCTGCCCTGCGAGCTTCAAGCATGCAGCTCGTAGCTCAGTCCTGCCCTCAGCACCCCAACAGGGCAGAGCAGTTTGCTGCTGAAGGAAGGGAGCAAGTATTTGCCAGCAAGCACAGAAAGGGAACCTCCACACCCAGATCAAACCCAGGGGGCTAAGAGAAATCTGAAACACAAAGGCCTGGAAGAACCTCCTTCCTTCCACCAGATCTAAACTTCCCCATTCATGGTTTCAGAGGGTCAAAACTGGAGGGGTTTTGCTGACGAAGAACAAACAAGCAGGTGTGGTTACTGTGATGGTCACAGATGGGCTATCACACAGCAGCAGAGGTGAAGCAGAGGATGCTCACCATGCAGCACGGAAGGGAAATAAATCAGGAAGCTTCTTGCAGAGACATATGCCAAAGCAATACACGTGCTTTAGGCAGGGTGCTGTTTGTTGTCTTTCTCTCCCTCAAGGGTATATGGGGACACCTTGGAAGGCTCTTCACATCCCCACCTACATTCTGCTATTTCCTGCTTCTGAATCCTTCCTCCCCGTGGGCCTGAATCATCTCACTTGTCCCCTGAAGGGTGTCTGAGACCTGACTGAATGGCTCTGGGGGCAGCCGAGGGCAGAACCGGAGAGCAGAGGGGAGGGTGGTTCACACTCACCGGTCTGCAGGGTCTGCCTCCCCCCGGAGAGCACTCCCAGGGGCAGCGTCCCCGTGGGAGTCAGGCCCTTGAGGGTCAGCACGCTCTCGCTCTCCTCCCTGCAAGTAAGAGGCAATACAGCCAGTTAGAGACCGACACAGAGCTCGCCTAGGTCCACGTGAGACTGCTGGTGGTGAGCAGGGAAGTGGAGTCTGCCCTGTGCTGACCACGGGCAGCGTGTGTCCGAGCTGCTGGGCACCAAGCACAACCTGGCCCCATAAATACGGGACCTCTGCTTACTCAGCTGTGATGCATCAAAGCTACAGCACAGCAAATGCACCCTGAAAGGGTTAAACACACCTCATTATCATCGAATGGGTTGGAAGGGACCTGAAAGCTCCTCCTGTGCCAACCCGCTGCCTCTGAAGCAAGAGGCTCATGAGGTTTGTCCCCACCAGGACTCTGCCTGCCTGGGGCACCCAGACCAACATCCCCCGTCACCCAGAGCCCAGCCGAACCTCAGACCTCAAACCACAAGCTGCCTCCTTACCGAAGGACCGAGAAGACACGTGCCATCTTCCCAATGGCTCTGATCTTGTTCCTGATGATCTCTTTACGGACCGTTGTCCCACCTTAGGGAGAGAAAAGAAACAAACACCGGCGTGTTTAGAGGGCTTCCTGCTTTCCAGGCACAGGCCATGTCAGTATGAAGCACCTGCCTGCCTCCAGGAAAAGAATCATGGTTTACAGATTCACAGCTACACTCTGGAGAGAAGAGTGCTGAGAGGATGGCGGTGAGAAGGGCAACACCAACGAGATGACACACGGACTTAAAGGTCTTAAAAGAGAGTAGAACCACCACGGGAACGCATCGGGGAGGTCTGGTTCGAAGCTCACCAGGTTGCTCATACTACACAGGATGTAACACGCATGACTCAGGCATGTGGACACAGTTTTGGCAGGCAGAACACGGACGAGTCAGTGCTGATGAACACGGGGCTGTGCTCGCCGCGGGCAGCAGTGTCACGCAAGCAGCAGCTCGGGCATCCAAGGCGCGCAGTGAGCGGCTGCTGGCCGGAGCCTCGCAGCTCTGCGTTGAGCCCACACAGACACAGTGAGCTGTGTGAGCCGCCCTTCCCGCCCTACACACCAAACAGGAGAGAAGCAGCATGGAGGGTAACTGAGAACACAGGATTCGAGTGAAACAGAGGTAAACAAATACATCTCCTCTCAGCTGAGATTCCTCACATGGCCCGAGTACACAGGAGGACAGGACAAGCCAGCCTGGAGGCCTCACATGCACCGATGGCTCAGCCATGCACTACGTGGCTGCATTCAGAAGTCAGACAGGAACGTGACCCCGTTTCTCGAGTTCCTGGAGGAGCGCAGAAGGGTTAAAAACACACGGCACTTATGTTAAAACTGAAAGGGGATGAAGAGGCTGCCCAACTAGTCAGCTATTCCAATCCACTCCAAGGAATCTGGTGGCACAGGCAGTGAAAATTAAGCTGGTAGCAAATTCTAGCTGGGTACCTTTCTGATAGCTTGAAATGTAGTGATCTTCAGGGAGAGGAGACACCAAGAAACAAGTAGATGAAGACAGAGATAGAAGAAACAAATTTAATTTTCATGGGAGGGAGAAAGGAAACAAAAACCAAACCAAAACCAAATATGAAATGCAATGGGAGAAGCGGGTTAAAGGCTCGACCTGGGGAGCGGGCGCATGCTCACGGCCCCACTCCTCGCTGCATGCCCACGGCTGTGCCTGAGCTGCCTCTAGGCCACCACCTCCTCTCCTCAAGACATCCCCCCGATAGAGAAGCTTCAGCTCAACAACAGGGTTTTGTCCCTTTTCATGCAGAGCTTAAAACCAGGCCCCAAAACCACGTTCTGCTTTTTATGGGGGGTGACATGAGAAGCCACTTTGCAGAGGAGTTCACTGCAACAGATGAGAAGATCAGGGAGATATTTTGGTGCAGAAAATGTTGGATTGGGAGGAAAAAAACAAGCCCTTGGGAAGCAGGAACCGTTCTCAGAGGAGCTGCAAGAAGCGTCTGTCGCAGTGAATATAATTTCATTTCTCTGGGACTGAATAGCAAAGGAGGGAAAAAATAGAAATGTTTCCTACCCAAAAGCACACAAGGGTTGGCCAAGAAGGAACTGGAGAGCCTGGCTGGGCATCCAGCTCTGCACCAAGTGGGCAGCACCACACACCTTCACCCCCAGCCCGGTACCAGCTCGGTGTAAGAGCGCTTTTTACCTTCCAAAGTCTCATCACCATCCGAGATCAACTCGTCATCGGAGCAGATGTTGAGGATGTTGACCAGCATTTCTGTGACTGCAAGAACACACACAGGGGGGTTAGAGGGGCCCAGCGCACGCGCTCGGCTGCAGAGGTATTCGAGAGCATGAGCTGGACAAGCAGGTGATTTCAAGGTCATTTCACTCTGGAAGTGGAAGCCCAAAGACACTTTTAGCTGCACGCTGCTGGCACCTCGCAGCAGTTCCCGGAGCAGACGACATGCTGCACACCTTCTGCCAAGGAGCTGGATGCACTCCAGCACATCGCAGCTGAAACAGACGTGGGGAGGGGG